CCTCAAGTGATAATCCCCCCTTGGACTGTCTTGGTGCAAAACCAAGACATAAATCATGTCTCCTGGAAGGGGGAGGACGTATCACGGGCAGGGCACAGCGAGCTGAAATCTCTGAAACCGACTGGCCTTCACTTCCTACGAGACAGAAAAGCTCTTCTACCCCTGTATACGGGAGGAAACAGGACTGGACAACCGTGAATAGGAAGGTTAACAACAAACCTCCAAAACAACTGAATGTGAAACTGCAGAACAGATTTGCTCCACTATCAAAGGACCCTGGATCGATATCGGACAACCATCCATCTAAAAGCAGCGAAGTAAGGTCTGAAAATCTGTTGAAAAGTAAAAGACCACAGGGAAAGCTAAAGGCTAGGCCTGAAACTCTGATTGTGGGTGACTCTGCCGTAAAGGATGTACAAAGGATGTGTGGTAAGAACACTAAAGTCCTCTGCTTTCCTAACAATATGGTCAACAACCTGAAGGAGAGAATTCCTCAAATTGCAGATGAATATTCGACTGTGACAATCATTGTTCTGCATACAGGGTCAAACGATGTGTCCAAACAACAGTCGGAGGTTCTGAAACGGGACTTTATTGGATTATTAAACACTGTAAACTCTCTGAATGCAGCTGTATTTATCAGTGGACCTGTACCGCCGGTCAGAGGAGGAGACGAGAGATTCAGCAGGTTGTTTACACTGAATAAATGGCTTATATCAGCATGTGCTGACCACTCAGTGCATTTTATCAACAACTTTAATATTTTTTGGGAACGCAGGCATCTGTTTAAAGCAAATGGATTTAATATTAACAAGTCAGGGGTGAAACTGTTCACCTCCAACTTGTTTTATTCCATACGTCATCCATCCGTGCTTGGTGCCAAGGCTGAGATAAACGAGGAGTTATCTCATAAAGAGGAACAAACAGTACTCCAAGAACAGACAAAGCCCAGCAGAAACCTTGAAGAGGAGCCTCATCTGCCCCCACCCGGGAAGAGCCTCAGAAAGGAGAGGCATCCATGGCATCTGAGGAAGAGCCTCAGAAAGGAGAGACATCTGAGGCAAGAAGAGGGGTCCCTATTTGCCTCCAACTCTCTCAACAACACCAACGACCAGGACCAGGGACCACGACCTTCCCCAGTCCCCCAAACCCCTGACAGGCCATCACCCTCCTCTCCCTCCCTTTCTCCCTCCTCCCCACACCTGAAATTCACTGAGGAGATGATGGAGCGGGTCAATGCTGGGCTCAGATCTACCCCCCGGCCCAATCCCTTTTTGTCCCCCATAAACCCCCCACCAGAGCGGCCAAAGGTTCGCCATCGAGCCCCACCCTCAACAGAGCGATCGAAGTCACATTGCTCAGCCTCACCCCCCTTAGTTCCTCCTTACCACCTTCATGCCCTGTCTCCGCAGTCTGATGTGTGATGTGTGGAGGGTCCGGGCTGCGAGGATTATGGCAGTGGTGACTTTTCCCAGGAGAAGCTGGGACCCTGTTTACTAGAAGGTTTTAAAATCTCTGTACTTTTAGGTGACAGGAGACATGTGGCCTGGTCAAAACACAGAGAAATGCACTCTAAAAGATCTTTGAACATAGTAAACATACCTTGTGTGCCACAGACTGCTCCCAAACACGAGGGGACAAGTAATGCCTCTAAAACACTTAAGCTGGCTTTATTAAACGTTAGATCTTTAGCTGGGAAAACATTTTTAATTAATATCAGGCGTGTTTCCAGAACCACTAAAAACTGCTGTAATAAAACCTATACTGAAAAAGGACAATCTTGACAAGACACAAATGAAAAACTACAGGCCGATCTCAAATCTCCCATTTTTAAGTAAGATCATTGAAAAAGCAGTTTCTCAACAGCTCAATTACTTCTTAAAACAGAATAATTGCTACGATGCCTTCCAGTCAGGTTTTAGACAGAACCACAGCACTGAAACCGCTCTGACCAAAGTGTTCAATGACATATGTCTGAACACAGACAGTGGAAAAATGTCAGTCTTAGTTTTACTGGATCTCAGTGCAGCATTTGATACAGTTGACCACAACATATTACTCAAACGACTTGAGAACTGGACAGGTCTTTCAGGAACTGTACTAAACTGGTTCAAAACATACTTAGAAAACAGGAAATACTTTGTATCAATAGGTAACTTCACATCTGAGCAGACAAGTATCACATGTGGAGTTCCCCAAGGTTCCATCTTGGGACCCTTTCTGTTTAACATCTACATGCTCCCACTGGCACAGATTATAAACAACAACAAAATAAACTATCACAGCTATGCAGATGACACACAAATATATATCACAATGTCACCAGGAGACCGAGGCCCTGTACAGGCGCTTGGTAAATGCATTGAGGAAATTAATGACTGGTTGTGCCACAATTTTCTCCAACTAAACAAAAACAAAACTGAAGTAATAGTCTTTGGCGCCAAAGAAAAACGATTACAGGCCACCAGAGAACTTCAATCTATACACCTAAAAACCACAAACCAGGCGAGAAACTTGGGTGTAGTGATGGATGCAGACCTAAACTTAGAAAAACACATTAAGACAATAACAAAGTCAGCTTACTATCACCTCAAGAATATTTCAAGGATAAAAGATCTGATGTCTCAACAGGACCTGGAAAAACTAGTCCATGCATTCATCTTTAGTAGGCTTGATTACTGTAACAGCATCTTTACAGGTCTACCTAAAAAATCAGTCAGACAACTACAGCTCATTCAGAACTCTGCTGCTCGAGTCTTCACTAAGACCAAAAAAGTGGACCACATCAGTCCAGCTCTGAGGTCTTTACACTGGCTGCCTGTCCGTCAGAGGATAGACTTTAAAGTCCTGATGCTGGCCTATAAAGCTCTGAATGGTTTAGGACCAAAATACATCAATGACCTCCTGACCCAGTATGAACCATCCAGATCCCTCAGGTCATCTGGATCCGGTCTTTTATCAGTTCCCAGAGTCAGAACCAGACACGGAGACGCTGCATTCAGCTTTTATGCTCCTTATATCTGGAACAAACTCCCAGAAAGCCTCAGATCAGCTGAAACACTCGGTTTATTTAAATCCAGGTTGAAGACTCACCTGTTCTCAGCTGCATTTGAATAAAGCACCAAATCCACACTTTAAGCTTAAATTTCAAAACTTACATTTAACTACGGATTTTATCTGATTTTATCTGTTTTGATTTTATATACTGTTTTGTTTGTTTGTTAATTAGTTTGTTTGTTTGAATCAATTTTAAATCATGCTTTTTATTTGTTTTTGTTTCTAATGTCTCTGTAAAGCACTTTGAATCACCTTGTTGTTGAATTGTGCTATACAAATAAACTTGCCTTGCCTTCATAAATTCCAGGACCTCAGTCACCAAGAAGCTGAACTTACCTGAGGAAGTGTTTTTCTCATCCACCTGACCATCTGTTTCTCACCTGTCCTTCTGAATTTATAGGATGTGTTGATGGCGTGGTGGGCGTGGCAGCTCGGGTGGCCTCAGTCCAGTTGCCATGGCTCACCTCGGAGGTGGAACCAAGCCCAGATCTGACCAATCACATCACAGGACTGGAAACTATGATGAGCGAGATGCAACAGAGGGTGAGGGGAAGCATATGGAACACTTCCTGTTGGACTGTGAGGTTTAACTGTTGCAGAGTCACCTGTCTGCTCTTTAGGTTGCTTTATAAACGGCTGAATTCTGTGCCGCTGCTTTGTTTTTTGTGTCTCACCGTTGCTCTGCAGGTTCCCGTGGCATTCTGGTCGGTGGAGGCGACCCAGCCGGCGTGGGCTGAAGCCCGCGGTGAGCCAGATGACCTGGTGGAGAGCCTGGAGGACCTGATGGAGGTTGAGGTCATTGCCGGTTCCAAGAAGACGGCATGCTGTGGGCTGGGCTGCGTCGGGTAGATGTAGATTTAAGTGTTTCCATTAAGATGGGAGAATCGTGTTTTAGAGGAAACAGAAGAAAACCTGGGTTCATTTGTCATTGTGATGTTTAAACAATCAATATTAAATAAGTCTAAATAAAGCTGGCAGATCAATATCTGCAGTGATTAATTATTAACATGTCACAGAAGAAAAATGCCACTGGATGGTTTAACTATCCTTTAGGAGGTGATAGACAGGTACATACTGAGATAAAATACACAATGCATGGATTCACCTGCAGCATAACTACAGGAGGATTCAGGGTCACCTGGTCCAGCCCTAACTATATGCTTTAGCAAAAAGGAAAGTTTGAAGCCTAATCTTGAAAGTAGAGATAGTGTCTGTCTCCTGAATCCAAACTGGAAGCTGGTTCCACAGAAGAGGGGCCTGAAAACTGAAGGCAGTCGTCCAGCCTGGAAGTAATAAATGCATGAACTAGTTTTTCAGCGTCACTCTGAGACAGGATATTTCTAACTTTAGAGATGTTGCACAAATGGAAGAAAGCAGTCTTACATATTTGTTTAATATGTGCGTTGAAGGACATGTCCTGGTCAAACATGACTCCAAGGTTCCTCACAGTGTTACTGGAGGCCAAGGTAATGCCATCCAGAGTAAGAATCTGCTTAGATACCATATTTCTAAGCTTTTCAGGGCCGAGTACAATAATCTCAGTTTGATCTGAATTAAGCAGAAAATGAGCGGCCGTCCAGGTCTTTGTCTTTAAGACATTCCCGCAGTTTAATTTCCATTGTCAATATTATTCAGTGAAATTAAGGGCAGTGTCAAAAACACACTGAGACTGAGCTGTGATGTCATCAAGTACTGCCTTTCCAATCAAAGGATGAATTCACTTGCACTCAGGTGAACTATAAAGTGTACTTGAGTATTGATGTCATGATGCAGCAGCAAAGAAGAAAAAAAAGAAAAGAAAAGACCCCACCCAAGGCTCCTCCTTTTCCTCCTAGTCTTTCAAAGTAAAACCAGCTTAATTTTGAAAAGAGAAGCCCAGCCTGCATGCGGTGTGTCAGGGGAGGACAGCATATTTCAGCTGCTCAGATCAATAACACACTGTGTTGAATTAAGAACTTTATTGACAAACATAAAAATATGATACAAACACGGAAGACAGACGAACATGAGGAGGCGGAGCTTCAATTTTGGAAGGTCGAGCGTAGATGAGTTCTGAAAGCTGAAAGAAAAAACAAAAACAAAAAAGAAAAACCAACAACCATCAGTCCTGCTTCACGCAGCTGTTAACGTGTTTGCGCACAGCGGGGTGTTTACGTGGTCTCACCTTCCTGGTTGTCCCACAGTTCGGCCGCCACACCATTAAGAGGACTGTCGTTGTTCGGCTCTGAGGAGGAAGCAGAGTGACAGTGAGGTCAGAGGGCAGAGCTTGGACAGTGCTGGGGTGATGACGCATTTACCTCCCAGCAGGCTCTGGATGGACAGCAGGATGGAGCGAACGTCGTAGAGCGCTGACCATTTGTCCTTCAGGATGTCGAGGCAGATGAAGCCGTGCTCGTCTACGTTGGGGTGGAAACATGGTGTGACAAACTTTACGCGTGGGGCCTGGTACGGGTAACCGGCAGGAAACTCCAGAGAGAGGCGGTACCTGAGGCCCTCGTACACCTGAACAGGTAAGACAGAGCAGAATTTAACTTTCTGCTGAGAGCAGAGTAACCCAAATGATCCGTGTGTACATACCGTCCCCTGAGCGCCATCGATGGTTCCAACCCACTTAAACAGATTATCTGACTCTGGGAACGCAGAGATCCCCTTATCACCTGACATCTGCACCAGAGAGAGAGACTGTCACATGACTTCAGGACACATGGAGGGTGTCACATGACCTCAGGTGTTACAGGTTAGAACAGAACACTGATGAAGACTGGACTCACCATGAGCGTCATCAGCTCCTGCTGCAGCCTGCAGACACAAACAGGAAGCTCAGAATCTGCTGCACATGCTCAGTTCAGTGTTTCACTTTTGGCTCAGATTAAGGAGGAGCCTGCCTCCTTTGTTGTTCTGGTGTTTCCTCCTGAACTCAACTCAGCCCTTCATGAAACTGCAGCTCAGACAGGTGCTGTGCAGAGAGGATCAGGTAAACTTGCCCATCTGTATGACTCAGACTGAGGCAACTGTGATACTAAGTTTGCCTGTCACTCCACACCTGTAGGAGCTGCCCCCACCCATCACCTGCTGAACAGCGTCACTTTTAGCCCTTTCACACAAGTACCTACTCAGCACGACTCTAGTAGTTTTCCGTTTCTGGGGTTGTTGGTTTCCCCAGTTGCCGGGTTTTAAATATGGCGGCTTTGATTTTCGTGAAGGACACGCCTTCAGGCCCCATCGATCGACGCTACTGACTAGCCAATGGGTGGCACCCAGTCAGTTGATGTCACATTTTAGGATAGCACGTACTATTAAAAAACAAACAAACAAAACCCCTAAAAACCGAGCCGGTACTAGTGGGACAGGGCCACTGGTGTAATCGAATGGCGGCACAGCACACGGAAACCAAGCGCATCATTGTTTACCAACAGCTGTACTAATAAAGTTTAATCAACCGTGAACAGGAAGTGTACCTGCTAACACCTGTCCGACAGGTAGAGTCAGAAATTGGCACTGAGAGCTGACACAAACACCCAATATGAAAACACACAATAGGAAAAGTCTCTCTCACACAAACACACACCGTTTGGACACAGAGCCTCTGGCCGCGCTGCCGCCGCTGTCGCTGCCTTTCAGAGCGGCGGTGCTGGAAGCTGCAGCCGCTGCGGGGTCCATGTTCTGGGAGGCCATGAGCGTTACCGTCCTGTTCTGCTGAATCAGACAAAGTGAGGTTAGAAGGCCCGGGTTCCTCTGCGGCTCACCTCCCGTGTTTCTCCCTCTAAGCTAACAGCAGCTAAACGCTGGCACCGGATCCAGCTCCGAGGACTCGTCTCCAGCTGTATCCGCCTCTCAGGCCACCGTTCGGGTGTTTTACTCAGACCTTACCCCGTTAACAGACGAGGCTCACCTTCACTGTGACGACGTCGTGCTAAAGGTGCTAGCTGTTAGCTCCACCGGTCGGCTAAGCGTTGGCTCTGCGGCTAGCCTGTTTATTACCCAGAGGAGACTATAAACAAACAAAAACTCTTCCCGGTACGGACTCACCGGTTGTCGGTCGGGGTTTGTCGGCCAGAGTACAGCTACTGTCTGTTGGATTCAAACGGAACACGCTCCCGCCCCCGATTTAAACCGACTGTTTCTTACACAGTCGGCCAATCAGCGCCCGACCTTTAAAAACAAGCCAGCTTTGGCTGGCCAATGGCAGGCCTGCCAAGTAAAGGGAGGTGCGTTGTGATTAGGCAGCGTGAACGACGAAATGATCCAAACGTCTTTTAATGCTGACGTCATAACAGAGCCCAACAAGTCAGAAATCGGTTTTAGTAAACAAACAAAATTACATAAATATACATTTGTGTATTCACTTACCTGTCATAATAAATATGCCTGTAAATAAATGTTTTACCTTCTGTTTATGATTACAGCTCTGTTTCAGGATAACTTAAATTAAATATCAGACTGCTGTCTCTTCAAGCCTAGCTTAGTGAAAGGTGACCACCAGATGATGTCACGCGGAGGCTCTGACAGCACAGATCCACAGTGAGAATGATGTAATAGCTCAGTTAAACTTTGGTGGGAACCACTCGGAGAGTTTCCATCAGAAAATGAAATGCTGTTAGCTCGCAGGTGATACAGCTGTCTTCATTAAAGATGAGTTCAAAACAAAGATGATAAACTGCATTAATGCTTTCTCTGGAGTATCAGGTCTGACTTTAAACATGAAAATGTGTCCTGTTCCTGTCGGAGAGGCTTGTGTCCTTACAGAAGGTTTTCCTGTCAAAGAACAGATGACTTATTTGGGAACTAACATCTGTCGAGATCAGTCTGAGAGGGTCATTTCTAATTTCCAGCATTTAAATCCAAAAATGAAAAACAGATTTGATCTGTGGCTCATGAGCGATCGATCACTGATCCTTTTATCTTAAACAGGGATATTCACACTCAGTGTATCCTGCAAAAGTAAAAATGTTCCTAAATCATTCGTAGAACAGTCGATGCTGCACTTTATTACTTTGTGTGGGAAAACAGAAATAAATCAATATTATATAAGGATCCAAAATAATATTAATGATGTGTCCCAGCTAGTGAAGGTAAAAAGGTCATTTTCTTCCATATCCTGTGTTTGTGAGGACCTGTGATGTTCCCGTATCTGTAAGAGAACACAGTACAGTGTTTCATGATGACACAAATGGACCAAATATACAGACAGCACTGAATAAAGATGTTCTCAGAGATGCCATTAATATACTGGATAAAACATATATGATTCATTGTCCTGTAACCCCTCACTGTCAGTTTTACTGGAACAGTAACTTTATGAATATTAATGAGCCATTGATATGGACTTACAATAAGAAGTATTTAATCACCAACAAGGTCGAATAACAAACCAATTTATTAAAACTATAGAAATGATCTGGATGAATCTTGTACTGTAAAACTGTCAAACAGTCAGTGAAACAATTCCACATCTTTTTGAATGATGTATTTCATTTTTTAACACATACACTACATTTAATGTTTTCTTTTTATTTTCATTGTCTGTGGAGGTTCTCAGTCATCCAGGTCATTGTAGTCTAAGGAGCTTGGAAAGAAAAGCGTCTGGACTTCTTTATGTTGCTTGAAGGCGTTTCACCTCTCATCCGAGAAGCTTCTTTAGATCTAGGGTCAAATGGTGGAGAGTCCCAGATCTCAGGCTCGTCATTGATCAGTTTACAGAGTAGCCGCTCAGAAAGCAGAGCAGATGTCCTAGCAGAGGTTCAGCAACACTTCACAGAATACACATGACGGGACTTACAGGCGTGTTTTTATGGATTCCAGCTCACTGTGGAGTCAGAGCAAATGAAATGGTAGATAGAGCTGCAAAGGAAGCCACAAAACACGGGATAGTCGACCTGGGTATTAGCTAGACAGAGATAAAGAGTATGGTAAGGTAAGAAATGAAGAAAAGATGGCAAAACAGTGGGAGGAGGAAAAGAGGGGACGTGATTGGATGAAATCCAAAGGAGGGAAGGAGAAATGAGGAGCTCAGAAAGGAGTAGGAGAGAGGAGGTGGCCATATCGAGAATAAGATTAGAACATACTGGTTTGAACACTACACTATTCATGATAGGGAAACATAATACAGGGAAATGTGACGACAGTGGAGAAGAGGAAACGATAGAACATGTTATATTCGGGTGTCAGAAATATCAGGTGGAGAGAAGACAACTGACCCAAAACGTCAGCGAATAGGGGTTTGGGTTTTTTTGAGCGACGCTCCAGTCCCCACTCCACACCAGTTGGAGGCGGTAATGCACCATTCAGTTGTTTGCCAACCGACAATAAAATTTAGAGGAAGCAGCAGCAGCAGCAGCAGCGAACAGGTAAGATGAACGCGCCTCCCGCTTTCGAGTCGTTCCTGCTGTTCGAAGGGGAGAAAAAGATCAGCATCAGCAAGGACACCAAAGTCCCGAACGCCTGCCTGTTCACCCTGAACAAGGAGGACCACACGCTGGGCAACATCATCCGAGCGTAAGGCCCTGAGACACGGCCGCAAAGGCATCACACCGCAACATCCAGGCTAACAACAGGCTAACTAACAACAGCCCGCTAAAGTCATCCGAGCGTAAGGGTCCCAGACCCGGCTTCACAGCTGGCTAAGTTGAGGCTAACAGCCAGACAAACGCTAAGCAGCGGCTCAGAGACAGATGCTAGCACGCAGCCTGCAGGTGGTTCCGTCTTACAGGTAGCTAGGAGGTTTTTTCAGAAAACCAGAACATAGTCTTGTAATATTTGATCTCTGCTTGCTTTTTGTTTTTTAATAAACCATGACATGCTGCTGATGGGAAACAGGTCTTAGTGTAAGCCACCATAGGCGGCTGTCCCAGTGCCTGATCATAAAGTCAGCAAAGTTAATGAACTGATCCTCAAATATTCTTCCTGTGAGCTGCACACACATCATTCACACTAATCTGCTCATCCTTACAGTCTGTCCACCAATCAAATGACTTTCTGTGTGTGTGTGTGGTCAGTCAGCTGCTGAAGGACCCTCAGGTTCTGTTTGCTGGTTATAAAGTTCCTCATCCTCTGGAGCACAAGATCGTCATCAGAGTGCAGACCACACCTGACTACAGCCCACAGGTAACACGCACACACCTGTGGGATATTCCAGGAAGTATGTTCATCAGACTCTGAGTTTCCTGTTCCAGAAGGGTGATTGGTTAGTTCATTCAGCTCTGAGCGTGTTCCCACTGGGTTATGTGCATACTATTACAGACGTCTCAGCTTCTACAGGATCAGGATGTATCAGGATAGTTTTGAAAGAATGACACATTTTAAATCAGGAATGCAGATCAGAGCAGAGCTGTGAGCGGATCCAGATGGGATCAGCTGGGACATGACCAAGCAGACCTGGATCTGGGATTTATCCGATCTGAATCCCTGATCAAAAATCTGTTTGGATCCGTCCTGCTGTGCAAATGGACTTGGTTTGCTGATCCGTCACGGAGCCCATGTTCTGGCTGATCTGGTTCTGGGTCGACCTGCCGAGGCTGACTCAGGTGATTTTCAGTGGAAAATCTGCCGAGGCTCATTTTGACTTTAAATGACCGAACCTCAATCTGATTACATTTCAATGTGAAATGTAATCAGATTACAATCAGACTGTCTGCAGTGACTTTAAACACATTTAGTTCAGCTTTAGTTTTAAAGCCATCTCAGCCTGAACTTCACTCGAATAAGATCCATTTATCCATCAGAGTGATTGATTATAATAAGTGTTACCATGGTAACTGCCTTTCTGGAACAGCAAACCCGAGTTTCCCTCATAAACTAAACTTGCTTCTTGGAACACACTTCTGATTACAGCTCTTAGTTACAGGAAGTGAAATTAAATGACAGGAAATGATGTCGTTCCTGACAGGAAGCATTCACGAACGCTATCACTGACCTGATCAGCGAGCTGTCACTGCTGGAGGAACGCTTCAGAGTCGCCATCAAAGACAAACAGGAAGGCATAGAGTGACCCCGCCCCATCATGATGTCACTTCCAGTTACCTGTCCTCTGTTTGTCTTCTGTTTCTTTTAAATAAAGCCTGTGATGCCATATCCTGATGAGTGTGTGTGACATACCTGTAGCTCAGGCGGTGGCTGCTTGCAGCTGATTGAAGTTTAAAGTGCTGGGGCCCGTTCTTCGTACGTCGCTTACTACATCCAAGATCAAATGACACATCCAAGATCAAATCATCGCGCTAACCGTGAGCTCGCTAATCCGGTTCCCCGAACACACCTGCTGTTGACGATTACTACAGCTGGACGCAGGAATGTGACATCACTGGGTGTCGTAAAAGGGGCTACGCATCGATAGTAGAAACATTGATCGGCAACCCGCTGATTGGTCGGCGAAAATGTCCAAGGGGCGTGCTCGGTATTTTCCGGCAGCAGAGCAAGAACTCATGAGTGAGGGATTTCAGGAGTTTCAGAGTTTAATTAAAACGCAAGAGAACACTGCAAAGGCTGCAAAAGCAAGGAGAGAGGGCTGGCAGAAAGTTGCTGACAAATCAAACTCGTAGGTAATTTAATAATAATAATAATAATGGATTGGATTTATATAGCGCTTTCCAAGGCACCCAAAGCGCTTTACGATACCACTATTCATTCACTCCCACATTCACACACTGGTGGAGGCAGCTACGGTTGTAGCCAGGCTGCCATATCGCGCCATCGGCCCCTCTGGCCAACACCAGTAGGCGGTAGGGTAGATCTATCATATGACACTATATTGTCCAATATCATATGGCATTATATTATATTATAATATGTTATATTATATCCCCTTTCACATTAGAGCCACAACAGGACCCACAAGAACATGGGAACAAGTAAAAGTGGAATACAGGAGTATTCTACAGAATGGTAATATTTATCTCTTAGATTGCTTTGCGTATCTTGGCAAGGTAATACTGGCCTGTAATACTCTGTTAGTTTGTTCATAACAGCAACCAAGAAAAGGGCAGAGGAAAAAAGACAGGTGGTGGTCCTGCACCCCCTCGTCAACAAGT